TTCCCTTGCTGTTAGGTCCTTCTATAAAATCAGAATGGTGAAAAATTAACTCCATTTCACTTCTTACATTGTTTCCTTTTTTGAATTTTTTGAATATTTATTGGTTCATATAAACATGACAGATACTTATTATTCACATTATAAATTTTAGGCTCTAAAATTCACACTGTAAACAAAAAATATCCATTATAAAATGCTAAAAGGAAAAACCTGAAATAATCAAAACTCTAGTTAAGCCCAGGAGAAAACAATGATTATATTATAAGACTGCCTAGAAGGAAGAGGAAATGGGTGGAAAAACTGCTGATACAGCAAAGGGGTGGGACTGGTAAACAGAACAAATGTAGTTGTATGCTGAAGAGAAGGAAGCATTTGCTGTTAGGCAGGTTTGATTTGTTAGAATTTCTGGAAAGTAGATACGGCATCTGATAACAGTTCTCCATAACATTGGGTAGGCTTCCCTTTTAAAAAAAAATCCCCCCAAAAAACCTTCATAGGACTGAATTTATTAAGCAGTCACTTCCCTTCCAACGTCAGTCTTTACAAATCTACTTCTCAAAATAGCAAATAGACAGGCAGTACTTCTGGATTAGTTGTGGCCAGAAAGTTAAACAAAAAAGAACCCTGCCCAGGCCTAAATGAAATGGCTGGAGGTTTCCAACACAGTAAAAACGTACTTTGCACTAGCACAGCTTTAAAACATATGAGCATTCACAGAGCAAAGCCCTAAAAAATGGGTCCTCTCTCAGGAGACATAGGGAGCAGGAATTTAGTTGGACTACAGGAAGATACTCAGATATCTAACAGAAAGGTGATCTGCCAAGGAGAAAAAAAAAAAAAAAAAAAAAAAAAAACTATGCTGCAAGGAAGTTTTGCCTATGAAGACAGGTTAATCTAGCTCCTTTTGCAGCTCCATCTCCATTTTCTCACTCCTACAGTAAACATAAAGACTAGAAACAGGTTGCTGGACCTGTAAGCAGTAGAGAAAGTCTATCCATAAAACCTATTCATGGAGTGGGGGGAACAAGGAATGGCATGGGCAACTGGTGCCTCCCAGGGGCACTGGCCATCACGGGCCTCTCTCAGGGGGTGGGGGAGGTCATGTGCACCCGGTGCCCCCACCCCATGCATCGTCTATAAGAAATGGTATCAAACATGCAGGGAAAGATAATGGGAGGAGATGCAAAGGAAAAACACTGACTGTGTACACCAGCAGTTCCAGTGGCCTCTTAGTACCCACTGAGCTGAATACAGAGGCCAGCTGAAGAGAGCATTACTGTCCCGATGAGGACAAAGCAATGCAGAGAGAAACAAAGACTGGACAACAGGACAAGCATGGAAGGAGGAGAAAAACAACTGGAAGACTGAAAAACACTTGGTGCATCTACATGTGCACTTTACTATGGAGTGGACCAACTCCGGAGTAAAACATTACCTTCCTAAATGTGCACCGGCATTAGGGTGCAGTAAACTAATGAACTCTGATGTAAAATAGTACTGTCCCTGATGGTACTACCTTACTGTGCAGTAAGTAACTGTACTGAAAGGCACATGTAGATGACGATGGGATGGCTGGGGCACAAGGGTACTAAATTGTGGGGGCTGCCTGCCACCTAGCAACATGGCTCCACACTCAATTTCCCATCCAGTCCCTCTGCCCTCTGTAGCCTAGGGCTGCTCTGCTGCAACTCAAATCGCTGCTGACCTGGGCACAGATGCAGACGCTGCACCGAGGAGCAGTTTCCTCTGGCCCAAATGGCTCCAGAATGTATTGTGTTGCATTAATTGTGCGCATAGATGCACCCGCTGAGACAAGGAGGCAAAACAGCAAAGAGCAATTAATAGATAGACATGGGGGTAAATTATGTAGGAAGTCCAACAAAAATCAAATTTCACCTCTTATTTGTCACCCACTGGAGACGTTTCCTCAAGACAAGCCAATTCAGTCAATCACCTGCAAAAAAGGAATTAAAAAAAAAAATTAAGAAGAGAAGCAGCATTTTGCAAACACTGTTCCCACATATATGGAAAACCTGCTGCAGCAACCTTCAAAAGCCAGAGTGCTGCTTCAGATGAAAAAGTCTGAAGGAATGATAACTTGGTCTGTCCAATATACAAGAACTCTTAAGAGGACTACAGCCTCAAAGAACGAAAGGGCAAGGAGCAGAAACTCAAAACTAGGTAAAGAAATGGTCTTCAGCAATAAGAAGAAAGAGGAGTAACGAGACAGTCAACTTCCGGATGGATGTCTGAGGTCCAACGAGTCAAGTATTCATTCTTCATTCTTTCAGCATTAAAATGGCCTCCACATTGATTTTGAAAATAATTCTTTCTAAACACAGTATTCCTAAGCCACATCCTTGCACTGAAATACAAAGTGTTTATCCAAAATCAGGTTTTTCCTCCTATTCTATCTTGCTTTCATCTAATGCCTTCCTTTGCTTTGAATAAACTGTGTCAGCAGAGACCTTGTCTACAGCACGTAATGAAAATTTGTCCCTGAACCTCATCAATAACCCAGAATAGTTTCCAAACTATTTTCTCACCAGGAGTTTGCTCTGTGTATCAACACATAGCCTTATGTTCCCTTGATTCCTAAAGGACCTCTGGCACCACTGATTGATGATGCCTTAAGGGATACCAGTCTTTGGGATGGTTTATCCCCAATACATGCAGTCAAGGACAAGTCATAAAATGAGAGCTGATGACAGAAAAAAATGGAATGGTCAATATTATTGGAAGAAGAGTTCTTTTATAAACCAGGAGAAAGGTAGACAAGGAATAAATATATCACCATGTTGATTTTAATAAGCTTTATATGCATTAAAATTAAACAAATTAATCTTTATAAAACACTTAAACACCCATGAATGAAATATAACCTCTGCTGCTCCCTATCTCTTGCCTGCCACAACTTGCTGTTAACTGTATAAAAGGGAAATTTGCCTAAAGAAGCTGGAGTGGCCTATTCCTTAGTGCCTCTTAGCACCCTTCTCTTACCCCATAGGTGTACTCCCTCTTTAAGAAGCCCTTGGTCACCTTAGGGTCTGGAATCATGGCCTTCAGCTGCCCCTACTTGGTCTAATGAGCTTTGGCTGTTCCTGCCCTGCACCTCTCAGGGTCCAGCCTCAAGGTCTGTTTTCTTGCTGGGGCTGGCTGCTGCACTACTGGTCTACACTGACTACAAAAGTCCTGTTCCCCTTTGGACTGCAGCTAACAGGGTTGGGGTTCCCTGGTACAATGTGGAAGAAGTTTAAAATGCTTGGCGCACAGTGGAATGAGATACCCGGGAATAAAAGGACACAAAAACCCACATACACTAGGCCTGTGCAAAGTGGCTAGTATTCACTTCAGATTCGTATCTGGCCAATTCGGGGGAGAATGATTTGATTTGGTAATTTGAATCACTGTCCTTAAATCAATTTGGCCAAATCCATTTTGGAAATTCAGCTGCTGCCGAATCAGCCAAATCTCTGAATCATACAAGTGCCATCCCCTGCCTGCTCTCCCAGCTCCCAGCAGGGAGGGTGATCCCTGCTGCCCCCCACCGTCCTACGCTGCATGGGAGAGCTCTGTCAGGAACCCCCCGACCCCTTCCCCACTGTCCCAGCTCCTCCCATGGCTGCCTTGCTTGCCCTAGCTACCGGCCCTTTAAGAAAACAAAAAAAAAAAAGTCCTGATTCACCAGCTGCTGCAGGGCAGGGGAACAAGCCCCACCACCCCCCACAGCCCTGCGCTGCATGGGGGGGCTCTGCACAAACCCCCAGAAGCCCTGAGGCTGCTGCATGAGCCAATGAGTCTGGGGGCAGGGGGGTTGTCTTATTTTCTTAAAGGGCCAGAGCTGGGGTGGGTGGGGCAGCCACGGGTGGGGCTCAAGGAACAGGAGAGGGTCAGGGGGCTCATAACCCCCCAGAGCCTCCCCATGCAGCACAGGGCAGTGGGGGGCTGCGTGGATCGCCCCCTCCCCCCCCCACTGGGCAGCATCTAGTGAGTAGGGACTGTTTGTAAAGCACCGGGAGCTGGGACTTAGCAAGGCAGCCATGGTGGGACTGGGGGAGCAGGCAGGGAATGGGGCTTGGTGGGGGTCCCCCCATGGTCCCCTCCCCCCTCAGCCAGCCTCCTCTTCCCCACCCCCTACTTACCAGATTGGACCCTGTGTCCAGCTCCCTGCTGCAGCAGGCAGGGACTGCCCAAATCACCTAATCTCTCTGAATCTTTCCCGAATCGATTCAGAGAGCTTTGAATCGATTTGGACTTTTAATTGGTCTCCTGATTCGGTTCAGATTTGGAAATTCGGCCAGCACCTGAAGCTTCACACAGCCCTAACACACACACCTCTCCCCCTCTCCCTCCCTCCCTCCCAAATACATAAATCCCTTTATGAAAGTACGTCCTTAATCCACATAGTGATTGTTCTGTAGGAAGTCTTAAGGTAAGAGACAATAGGTTAAAGCAAGATTAATCCTAAAGGGTTCACTCTTAGTTGAGATCTATTTGTATTTATTCCAGTGGATCCTACAGCTTTTTCATTTTAATTACATTCTGTACTTTCAAGAACAGATTTTATCCATCAATGCACAGGTTTTTCTCCAAACAAGGAAAACCTGCCTTTGGAGACCTACTTATGTCTCTTCCTCAAAAGAGAAAGAGATACTTTTTCAGAAAATATTCTGTGGCATTTGTAAAACCAGACTAAATACTGAGCTCAACTTGTGTTGCTTATTCTTTGATTTTACCTATTGGAAAGAGCTCAAACCTCAGTATGTGAGCACCCAGGAACACCAAGATAAATTACAGAATAAAAACATTGCTTGAGTAATATTCATGCACGCCTCAGATTAGTTACATAGCCATTTTTTGCCATCATTTGTATTTGCTTTAATCACCTTGGTAAATAATTTATTTGACCACAGTATGCTGTCACTATTGAGTAGATCCCACCTCCACAACTGTACAGAACACTGATGTTTACACATCATTCTGTTCACAGCTCCTATAATATTAGTCTTATCTGCTTTAAGGACTCTAACGTACAATGGAAAATATGAAAGGAGCGATCCTTCATTTATTATAGTAAATTTTCTCTCTCCACCTTATTCTATCTGCTGTGCCTACAAAACAAGCTCTTATGGAACAAGGAAACAGAAGCCTCGGTTCACACAATGAGGTTAGCTCAGAAAATGAATTAGCAGCCTGCAGTTTGTACAGGTGGATTATAAATTTTGAGAGAGGGAGGGGAAAAAGAAGCTCAATACAGTAGCAGCCTTTCTTGAATTCAATTTCTAATTCATAATTGAGGCTGACTGATGTGTTTGTTTTGTTTGGGTTTTTTTGCTAAAATATAAAATATATGTATATTTTTAAATACACACAGGAACTCATAGATAATACAATGAAAGAAGGAGTATATGCTTATATAAAGATATAATTATTTATAGAAATAAATGGGTGCTTTTCAGGGTAAGAGTTGGGGTTTTTTTGTTTGTTTTGTTTATCTATAACTAGAAACTTAGGGGGAGGGGACAGACTCAATTAGAAGCAAGCTATCTTGAGTGTGTAACTAAAGAGTACCTGGGTTCACTACCAGGGTAGTGCAAGAGAATGGTTTAATTATTTACAGTGCATTCCATGAAAGACTGTTTTCCAAGGTCATCTATTCCGAAGTATGAAGATAAAGCATTAGCTCCCAATAGTATAAAGGCCAATGCATGAACTCTATCAACTTGGGTTGTAAAGTAAAGGAGAATGCCGAAATGCACCTTTAAATAAGCCCGTAAGACTTGGAGAGTCTACTTTCAAAACTAGGTTAGTAACAGGATAAATATTTTCACTTTAAATAAAGGGGAAGTACTTTGTAAATAGGACAAATGGTATTTAAGTGGCATAACAGGAGATTACCACAAGAGCCTCAAAATGAAAATTGTAAAACTATAAACAGATTGTGAATGAATCATTAAAATGGAGTTTTTCACAAGCTACAGTTACTGCCAGCCTCATTTATGGGAGGGAAATTTAACATGCCAGTCCCTTTGCATGTGTAACAATTTCCATTTGCAAACAAAAAAAAGACTACTGCCAACAGTGCACAAGAGGTTACTTAAGCATTCACAACATGTTTACTTTGAGCCAATATAGCCAATACGTGTATAGCCCCCCACTATGCCAGGCTCCAACACTGAAGAACCAACTTAGGTGGGAACTGCTGGCATAACAACCCCAGAAGGGCAAGTAGCTCACTACCATTCCACAGCAGAGATGCTATTAGAAACAGACACAAAATTCTTATATTTTGAATTGGACATTTTTTAAATTGTTTCTTTTTTATTGTAGCGGCCACTAAAGACATACCAGAATAGGCATGACAGCAGGCAGCTACATCCCAGAGCAGGTGAAATGGCCAAAAATCTGAGGCTCTGAAGGAGCTAGGGCAGACAGGACTCCTTGCCTGACATGCAACAAGCCATGAATTACAAAGTACAAATGTAAATGCAATGCTGGCAGGGAAAAGTGGCAGTGGTGAGCACTCCCCCAGGGCTGTGGCAGGAAGCAGCAGTGGTGGTAGCAGCCAGGTCCTAGTGCACTCCCATCCACCCCATTCAAGCTGGGTCATTCCAGCCCAGAGCCTGGAAAAGGTTGTCAACCACTGGTATAGAGTACATCATAAGTGTGGATGCAGAGCAAGAATTCAAATGCAGTAGCATGACTTGCACCAACATTCTGCATCAATGGGAATGATACTAGTGCAATCTTACTACTGCCATGGTTTAGATCACTCATGCACACAGAGTAATCTTTTGAGTGGGGTTTTTTTTGCAGGTAGTCTCAATTTTTGGGTATCCAAAATTGATACCTACTAGAAAGGGCCTGATCTTCAAACAGAATCAAGTTGTTCCCTTCTAAACGTAAAGCTTCCATATGACACAAATAGGCACTCCCGGAAAAGGCATAGAAAGC